AGCAAGCATATCATTGGTAGCACCACTCTGACAGCCTTTGATGATGATTAAATCCTTTGCAAGCTAGCAAAAATTTAATGCAACTTGCTAGGCACGTTGGATACCTTACTACTCCCTATACCACACCATGGCTGGAGTGCAATGTGTTCCAGCAGAAATAGTGTACATCTTTATCAAATGTGGTGCATCCTCCTACTTCGGTACACAGCCTGTGAAGATTCAATAATATTTTAATTCAAATAATGTATGATTTCCTTCCTTTCGAATCAAGGGGGTAAAGTTGGCGTATATAAATTTGGGGGGGGGGGGAAAAGGTAAAAAAGTTCCCTGACCCCTGTATTAAACAGACTCCATGCCATCTGGAGATTTTTTTTTCCCTTTTCTTTCAACTTCTTTTTAACTAGTTTCCTCATCTGTGGGTAGTCCGCCCTTCAGAAACCAAAGGATGATAGCACACCCAACTCACAGTGATTCTATGTTGGACTGAGACCCACCATCCATCTCCATTCTGATGGATTCTACCCCTTCTTTGACCTAGATAGCCACCCCACCTCCCACATGCCCCCTTCCTATCCCTCCTGGATAGCCTGGGACTGCAGAATCGATGATGTCTGCTGTATCCATGTTCTATCTAGCCTCAGTGTGCCAGTTCTCCACTCTTTGCTCAGACGCTTCAGGCATCTCTGTAAAAAGCACCTGGGTATGGGGTCCCCCAAGAAGGGTGGCTTGTTTCTTTTTTTCCTGGAGCTCCTTGAAACGAGGACACACCCATAATACTTTTGCCCATGAGGCAGGTAGTCATGCAGATGACCCTCAATGAAAAACACAGGATAGCCCCCAACCCACTGCTGTTTTCCTGACTGCATGCTGGTTTTTATTCGTGCTTGCCAAACCTCTTCTCAAAGGATGAGAGAGGCAGGATCTGGGCCCTGGCTTCCTTGCCCAGCTTCTGAACTCACTGCATCTTCTTACCCTGCCTTTCCCTTCTAGCTCTGCAGTTCTAGTATTCTATTAACTCTGTACCTATTTCCCTGGCCATCTCTGCTTCCTCTCCTTTTTTCAGAAATGCCTCATGATTCTCTACCCATAAGAGCATGTTATAAACTCTACATCCCATCCCTTTCATGGGCCTGTCCTTTCTCTTCTCCTGCTGAACGATAACCTCTCCAGATTTTGTCAGTTCCCTGCACTGAGCACTCACTGCTCTTTACCCGTTCTCGAGTCCAATAATTGAACTGCATTACATTCATCCGCATTAACTGTTCCTTTTCTAACACTGTCCTCCCCCATGTTCATTTCTGCTAACCAATCCTTTAATTCAAATATTGGTTTTCTCTTTAATAAATTTGGGTTTTCTCTTTAATAAATTTGAGAAAATCCATTCTAATTTTCTGGAATATTCATGACAGTCATTGGAAGGATTTAAAAAAGAGAATTAAAAATTGATGTTCGGTACAGTTTTCATTTTAGACGAGACAATTTCAACCAAAGTGTGATGGCTAATCTTCCTATAATCATTTAAATTATTTTTAATTTCTAACTTCAACTTTTCAAAATTTTGCTTTTTAAAATCTTGTAATTTGAGTAACATTTATTCCTCCTTATCCTATAGTAATAGTATTTTCCTCCTTATTCTACTAAAACAATGTCATCTCAAATTTATTCCTGTTTATTTTGTCCTTTCCCCACTGATTATAACTGCTGCTGATCATGGTGATCTCTCCTTAAGAGGCATCTAGAACAGTTTTTCCCAACCTCTTTTGAGTTGTGACCCCCTTGTATAATTGCTACGCGATCTACAATTTTCATTAAAAGGCATTTTAATGTGATAACGACATCACATCAAAATAGACTATTCAGAATAGAATTGAACGCTAATAATTAAGGAAGGGCTGCAAATCTGCCTCTACCAAATGAAAATTGAGAAGGAAATAAAGTTAATATACTCTGAGGTACTTTTTTGGGGTGTGGAAATGTTCCTTCTTTCATGACTCCTGCCCCCAAAAGGTTCCTCAGTGAAGTGCTCCTCCCACCTCAAGGTCAAAGGAACACCCTCAGGTCCAGCCACACACCTACCCTGTTTCTCCTCCCTCACCTTTTTGCCTGTCTTTCGTTCCTCCTCCGTTACTCAGATGGAGCCCAAATGCATTTCTCCTTAAACCTGCAGATTTCTGAAGTGGTTGTTTCTTTTCTTTTTCTAATCTACCAGATGAAGAACAGGAAAAGAAAAATCGCCCAGCAACACCTGGGGCATCCTCAGCAGAAACACATGAACAAGGAAAAAACAGAATTGAAAATCCAACAGGACAGGAATAGATGTCACATGAAAGAACTCATGCAAGGGAGAAACCAAATAAATGCATGTCACCTCAGTAGACATCAAATAACTCATATAGAGCAGAAAGAGTATCCATGCATGGAATGTGGAAAGAGCTTCAGCCGGAAGGATCACTTGCATTCACATCAACGAACTCACACTGGGGAGAAACCATATAAATGCATGGAATGTAGAAAGAGCTTCAGACACAGCAGTTACCTTAGTTCACATCAAAGAACTCACACTGGGGAGAAACCATATACATGCATGGATTGTGGAAAGAGCTTTGGTCACAGTAGTTACCTTAGTTCACATCAAAGAACTCACACTGGGGAGAAACCATATACATGCATCAAATGTGGAAAGAGTTTCAGTCACAGTAGTCACCTGAGTTCACATCAAAGAACTCACACTGGAGAGAAGCTGTATAATTGTATGGAATGTGGAAAGAGCTTCAGTCGGAGTGGTCATCTGAGTTCACATCAAAGAACTCACACTGGGGAGAAACCATATAAATGCATGGAATGTGGAAAGAGTTTCCGTCTCAGTAGTGTACTGATTTCACATCACAGAACTCACACTGGGGAGAAACCATATGAATGCATGGAATGTGGAAAGAGTTTCTGTCTCAGTAGTGTCCTGATTTCACATCACAGAACTCACACTGGGGAGAAACCATATACATGCATGGAATGTGGGAAGACCTTCAGTCAGAGCAGTGCCCTGAGTTTACATCACGGTACTCACACTGGGAATAAACCATATGCATGCATGGAATGTGGGAAGAACTTCAGTTGTAGGAGTCACCTGAGTTCACATCAAAGAACTCACACTGGGGAGAAACCATATACATGCATGGAATGTGGGAAGAACTTCAGTTGTAGGAGTCACCTGAGTTCACATCAAAGAACTCACACCGGAGAGAAGCGGTATACATGCATGGAATGTGGAAAGAGTTTCAGTCACAGCAGTAACCTGAATTCCCATCTAAGAACTCACACTGTGGAGAAACCATATGAATGCATTGACTGTGGAAAGAGCTTCAGTCACAGCAGAGCCCTGAGCTCACATCAAGGAACACCGGGGAAAAACAATATATAAATGCATGGAATGTGGAAACAGCTTGACAGAGTAATAAACTGGGTTCACATAAAAAAAACTGATACTGGGGGAAAACCATAAAATGGCACAGAATATGGAAAGAGCTTCAGTGACGGGATCATATACTAAACATCAGAGAACTCCCACTGGTGAGAAACTGTATAAATACATGGAATGTGGAAAGAGTTTCAGTCATACCAATAGGTCCCATCTAAAAATTCACAATGGGGAGAAAGCATAGAAATACACATGTTCATATCAAATCCTATCAATGCATTGAATGTGGAAAGATTCAGTTAGACCTTAGTTGTCATTGTCACGATCTCTACCTGACAAGATAAGGATCGTGGGTCAGGGAGTCACTGTGGGTACAAACTACCACCTTTGGTGCCGAAGGTAGGTGCTTTAAGCCTCAGAAGTGTTTTCCTAAAGAGGTAATCGGCTTGCAGGGTGCATACATAATATTTTCCTTGAAACCATATTTTTCCACACTTCATATTTCTCCAAAAGTTAATCTTGTCACAGGTGTTAACTAGATTTTGCAAACAGGGTCTTAAGAAGCTCATAAGGATGTTGCAAATGTTATGTGGGGAAATCCTATTTTTTAAACCCCTTTTTATTATTGCTGTGGGTGCTTAATAAATGCTTAGTATCCTCTGAAAAGGCCTATGTTTTTTTAAAGCCTATTGAGGCGGCCTGAAGATCATAAATTTCTACAGAAGGTCTTATTAATTTTTCAGCCTCTGGAATATAATTTTTTTTCTGTGCTTCAAGACTGTAAGATTGAATAAAACCCCTTTTAAAATGTACTGTTCTGTCTTATTTTGTTTCAGCCTGAGAACCAGGATCAAGAAGGCTTTGCTTTTCCCTGAGCTTTGGACAACAGAAGCAACCTTAACCTTGCAGGGTGCATACATAACAGTCGTTTTCTTTTAGAAATGCTTTTTAAATTCATATATGACAACCTGGCCTAGAGGAATGTGGGGCATTACATGGACAGGGGTTCTAGTAGCCATGATACCTCCCGAGTTGACCTTTTTAAATGCAGGTGAAACCCTATTTTTCCACACACCATATTTCTCCAATAGCCAAGGTTGTTACATCACTGTAGGGGGGGTCAGGAAAATAAACCCCTGTTTATTTGCAGGGGGAAAGGAGGGGGTGGATATACATTTTGCTTTATGTTGATTACCTGGAGAAAGGTATAAAAAGCTTCTGTATAGATGGTCCTAATCATCTGTTCCTGGAGTCCAGAGCTGCTGCTGAGAACTTTGGCTAAGAAGAAATGGCTCAGGTAAGAATAGTCGTTAATTCTATAATCTTTTCTAGAATTTCAGCACTAAAATGCAAGTTCACCCTGGTCCTGACACACAGCAGAAAGGTGAGACTGACTGTTTTAAAATATATTTTTATTTTACTGCTAGACACAGAAAAAGTTTTTAGGTAATACAAGACCCATCATCCACTTACAAAATATTAGAAAAAATTTATTGTAGTTTCACATCTTGTCTGAGAAACGTGTTTAACCCCTTTTCATGTAACAGAGAGAGAAAGTAGTGCTTATGTCTTTGCAGAAGAGGTCCATAGCTGTAAAAATGGTCTGTTTAGAAAGCAGTAATGCTGTTTTTACTTTAGATAAGGGTAAAAATACTTAGTGTTACATATCCAACTGCCGTTTTGAAGAAGCCACTCTCCATGTTGACTGATTATATAGGTTGTGATACAGGTTGCAAGAGAGTCTAGATCCTTGCTTGTTAAATGTCTGTAGTCTTTCTGAAGCATCTTCGCCTGGCTGCAGCCAAAGCCGAGGATCGTAATCATCCACCCCAGTTAATTTTTCCATCTTCAAATTCAGATTGCATTGTTAATATAAACGTAGAACAAGCTTCATCCAGGTTAGAAATCTTGAGTTGACTTAAGTGAGTGTGGATTTGAAGTTCAAAGTGAGTTTGAATCAGAGAGTATATTTTTTAAATAACACTCATTTCTGATTTAGACCACGTATTTTCAGGCTGTCCACAGCCGATCTCAAGATAGGTGCAGACAACAGAGAAGGTCTGTTGATCAATCTTCTCCATGCTTACCTAAAAAAAAACAACAGGAGCCATTGTGAGGCGAGGCCTAATATGTGCTTTTCTTTACACTTGTGGGATTGCCCAGCATTGTGAGACAAGTCCTAACATGTCCTTTGCCCCTGCAGGAGGTCAGAGCAATGAAAGATGCTCACTGGCTCCAGATTCTTTGGGTGAGTCACAATGCCCTAAGATATAATGCTTAATGCCTGTGGTTCAGCTTTTAAATAGTGCAACCAATATAGAAATATCTTTTTCAGAAAAATATTTCCAAGATGATTTTATTGAGCCCATGAAGACACCTTCTCCTAGGCTCTACAAAGCTGAGCCCAAGAGGCTTTCTTATAATGGTATGCTGAGAATCAGCCAAAAAAATTAACCTTCAGAGAGAATTGGCTTTCTATTGCCAACAGAATGTTAACATCTTGGTACAGGCCTGTACAAAATATCACCACGAAATTATGGAACTGACAAAGACTAAGAAAACGTGTGATGGCAAATCTGAGTGGTTTGCCATAGACCGACTTCAGTATCCCACCCTGGCTAGTGTGTGTCTTGCCACGTACAGATTCAGGTTTCTGAAGAAAAACACAATAGCTATTCCACAGCCAGACAACTATCGTAATCGATGTAAAAGATATTCTTCCACATCAATCCAGTGGTTGTCTTATACTGCACATAAAGAAAAAACTAGGATTCAGCATGCCTTGAATGATAGGGAATTTTTTATTGACCCTTTTTATGTAGATGGGTTATATGGCTGTGAATGGTCAGGGGGTTTGTTTAGAGTTCTTGGGCTGTTTTTTCCACGGCTGTGTCCCTCTGGTTGGAAAAACCTATGGGGCTCTTTATAACAGTACACAGGGAAGGGCGGCTGTCCTGAAAAGGGTTTTGAAGTCAGATCAATTTGGGAGCATGAATGCAGACATTTAATAAAAAATGACAGCGATGTCAAACAATTCCTTGCTTCAGCTGATTTTCCAGAACCCTTAGAACCTAGGGACGCTCTCTTGGGGGGGGGCGTACAAATGCAGTCTGTCTGTACTACACACCTAAACCTGGAGAGCAGATTCATTACTGATTTTACCAGCCTTTACCTCTGTGTCAACAAAACTAAAGAGTATCCTCTGGGTCATCCGGAAATCATTTTTGAGAAGTTTAAACCTGTGTCTGTATACTTTAGCTTTCTAAAGGCTAAAATCTATCCACCAAGAGGTCTCTTCTTTTCAGTGCTACCCGCCAGGGTCAGTGGAAAACTTGTGTTTTTACTTTAGCTTTCTAAAGGCTAAAATCTATCTGCCAAGAGGTCTCTTCAGTGCTACCCGCCAGGGTCGGTGGAAAACTTGTGTTTGCGCTGTGTGCCGCATGTGCAGAAGGCCATCAGTGAGAACTGTGTCAGCATGCTGATGAGGAGAGAGCCTTGATGGGGACCTGGTGTACTATTGAGCTGAATGCGGCCATAGAGAAGCTTTAGCTTTCTAAAGGCTAAAATCTATCTGCCAAGAGGTCTCTTCAGTGCTACCCGCCAGGGTCGGTGGAAAACTTGTGTTTGCGCTGTGTGCCGCATGTGCAGAAGGCCATCAGTGAGAACTGTGTCAGCATGCTGATGAGGAGAGAGCCTTGATGGGGACCTGGTGTACTATTGAGCTGAATGCGGCCATAGAGAAGGGCTACAAGGTTGTGAAAATCTATGAAGGGTGGCATTTTGAGAACGGATCCGCAGGCCTGTTTTCATAATAAATAGAGCTACGCCTTCACCACAAACAGAAGCAAACAAGCGAATGTGGGGCCTCTCCTTTTCCTCAGTGACGGCTCTGCTTGCTCTCAGTCCCTCCCCTGAACTTGCACCCACGCCACCCCCACCCCCATTGAAGAAACTTCCCTCTTTCTTCAGATTCAACCGGGACCACTTGTTGGGGTCATGCCATGCAACTGGGAGAGACTGGATCAGGTCTTCCTACTGAGAGACACCCCCCCCCACTGTTCCAATCTTGATCCCCTTTTGGCATTTTTGGGGAAGCCCTTTCTTCCTCTGTCCTGATCCAGCTTGTCCCCCCCCCCACCCCCATTGAAGAAACTTCCCTCTTTCTTCAGATTCAACCGGGACCACTTGTTGGGGTCATGCCATGCAACTGGGAGAGACTGGATCAGGTCTTCCTACTGAGAGACACCCCCCCCCACTGTTCCAATCTTGATCCCCTTTTGGCATTTTTGGGGAAGCCCTTTCTTCCTCTGTCCTGATCCAGCTTGTCCCCCCCCCTTTTCTTCCTCTGTCCTGATCCAGCTTGTTCCCCCCCCTTTTCATCCCTTTCCTGCAGGATGGGGTCGTGGTGGCTGAGAAGGAGCACTGGCTTCTTCCATCTGTGCGGAGGGGCTGAAAGGCTGCACTCCGACCCCCTGCCGTGTGCCCCTCTCTGGTGGATGTGTAGCGCAGTCAGGTTTCCCCTCAGCGGTGGAGGGAGTCTGAGAGAGGGAATCTCTTACGACAGGGACAGCCAGTTCTCCAGAGCTGTGCCAGCCTTCTGTTCTTCACAAGACCCGTGTCGCGAGTCGTACATCTCAGCCCTTCCTGCAGGTGTCTCGGTGTGACCCAGACCTCTAGTGGGAATCCCTGCCCCACTTCCGCTGTCCATCCTCTTCTGTTTAACCTGCAAGGTTTTGTCCTCACCCTCAGGATATAATTTTTGTCCTTTTAGCTAAACAAAGAGAAAAGACATTCAGGCTCCCAGAGTTAGGTCAATACCCTTGTGGACAATGCCCTTGAGAGTGGGGTTATACCAGTTGTGATGATATTGGGGGGAAGACGGTCTGTTACCCCTCCTCCTCCTCTCAGCCCACAGAATCGAGGTAGCCCTATCTGCCGACCTTCTGATCTGCACATGGGACTGTTAAAAGCCGGGGGGGTCCAATTAGACCTGACAGAAGAGGGAAAGGCTGACCTGAGATCTGGGTGGGAGAGGAAAGGAGAGCCGCCCTTGTTTCCCAGGTGTGCTTCCCAGGTTCCTCCATCCAGCATCAGGGCAGGGCAGGGGAGGGGTCCTCTTCTACAGGAACTCCCTCAATATCAGCAGGGTCTCTGCCCTCTGGCACCTCAGTTTACCTCATGCAGGACCACTGGGGCAGAAAGACCGATGGTGCCACAGCAGTCTTAGACTGTACCTGGGTTGTTGGTATTTTTTAATGGTTCCATCATTAAAAAATCAAGACTGGAAGGAAACCTCAGCCCTTTTTGTGAACAGGAAACAGTCAACTGTGCTGTGTATGAAATAAGACTAAGATTTACTTAGTGCCATTCCACAGGCTGGTCAGTAATCTAGTTCACAGGCCATACATCTAGGCTAGTTCAGTCCACTTGTCCAGAGATCTTTGGCCTGGGATACCCTTTTGACCTAAAAGTTGCACCTGATCAACACATGAATGAATGGATTTGACAAGGGCTTGCAACATATTAACATACCTGCAACCTCATTTCAGGGATTTCCCCACAGGAAACACTTGTAGTCCAGGTAGATCAAGTTTAGGAAGAGGGTGAAAGGGACTGTCTGGAATCATGGGGTCACCATCCGTTGCTTTTTTCCTATTAATCATTAGCTAGCCTAATCAACAAGGACAAAAAAAAACCTGGCTGCCCAAATGGGAATCCCCCACTATTTTGCTAAAAATCGGTATAATAGAACTTAATCTGAGGAAGCTCTTGAAAATCAATAGTGGGGAACCCATATGGAAGTCCCTTATGATAGATAATCATTTTGTTAATTGCCATAATGTTCTTACATTGTGAAGGTTCTAAGGAGCAAACACTTTCAATAGTGTATTAGCATACTGTGGCAGGATGTGACTAATCTTTGGAAAAGCAGCCGCAGACTTCAATTTGTCTCCTAATTCAATATGGCTGAAATGGAGGACTATACAACGCTGGGCATCACTCACCAGGAAGTGCATGTGTCCTTCACTCTCATTGCCTGACCTTGACATGAGTGGCATCATTTTGAATGGAGCCAAATATTTCCCCAGAGCACCTGAGTCTGTTCATTTGCAAATGCTTGCCACACCTTTCTGCTTCTCTTATCCAATTATTTTTCTGTTGAAAAAAGAATTGAGTGGCTAATGGTCACCTATTTTTTTTCTCACCTCCTGCTTCTTCCTATGCCACCAACCCCACCATCTTGTCTTCTGGCCCTCTGATTACCCCTTGCCAGAATTCCTGGTCTCTTTGCAGAAGGGGGGGAGGGATCCCCTTTGATGGGAGGAATAACCTCCTCCAAGAATGTTGTTAAGCCTTTTCGTCCAAGTCCCAGGTTCAAGTCCTTCACACCAAGTTTAAGTCTAAATCTTTGATACAGAGTTTTAAAAACAAGCGTTTTCCCTCAGAAAAACGGGAGAGGTTGGGTGGGTTCTGAGTTGAGCCTGAGTCATTGGGAATGAACCCCCCCCCCCAAAAAAAAC